TTGTCCTCAGTGTGAAAAGATGGATCTCAAAATCATACAGTCACTGCTGGAAAGGGTTCAAATATGCAAAAGATGCTGGAAAACTGAAGAATCTGCAGGACACAGAGGATTTTTCTGAGGAACAGTGCTCAGTTTAACTGTTCAGAACAAACAAGGGACTCATGAACAACCATCACAAAACAAAAAACAGTGGTAGATCATCCAGGTAACCACACACAGTATTAAGAACCAAGGGTTCCCAAACTTTTGAAGGGGGTTATTTGAATAATTTCAGCTATTTTTTTTGTCTTGTGAACTAAATGTAAACATCTTTTATGTAAAATATCTTACTCAGGACAGTACTAAATAAAAAATAACAGTCATTTTGCATGATCTCTCTTATTTTGTTAAAATTATTCACATTTTCACAGATTCTGCAAGGGGTTCCCAAACTTTCGCATGCCACTGTATATATAGGAAGGTTTTGTATGTCCACCTAACCAATCAAAAGGCATTTGATGAGACAGTGAAGGGGGTTTGGACCAATCAGATTTCAAAATGGGTGACGTTACCGCAAGCTGCAGAAAAAGAGGCTAATCAACCAACATTATTTCTTGGTTAGGACAAAATCTCAGATTAAATGAATTTATTGCTTGTTGCTCATTTAAATTTTTTTTTGCTTTGTGCTTGGTTAGGATGTGTTGTATCTGGAATATTAAGAGAAAGTATTTTAACATCGAAAAACATGACATAATATACATAATCCACATAATTTAGTCTTGCATTTATATGAAAGAAACTGCTCAGTTTTACATCTACAGCTCCTTTTAATCATCTGTGCTTTAACGTGTCGCGTCTACTCAGGACACAGTGTATTTTAAAATTCAAAGATGCAGCCAGACACAGGGGCAGGACAGAGGGATTGTGCATGTGACATTTAACCAACAAAATAATTAGAGGAGGAATGCATCACTTTCTCATCATCTCTCTCTCTTTCTCTGGCACATGACCTTCCACCCACCTCGACAGAGTTGAGTCTGCACGTCCCACTCATAGCCATCTGTACACTCCTGGCAGAGAAAACACTTTATTATGCGTTATCTTTAATCATTAGCAGTTACACTCAAACACTTTTATTGACAGGAACATGATTTCTAATACAAACTGATGTCTGATTGTATACAATAACACACTATATATGGTGAGTTACGTAGGAAGGCAGATAAACGTGAGATAGTTCATGCATGAAGGAAGACTGAAGAGGAAGAGAGAAGAACAGGGAGAAATTGTCACATTTACTTACTGTGTAAGAGTCACGTTCAGCAGGAGACTGACAGATTGTAGCAGGAAGAACAACCAGACCCACGCAAAGTAGCACATATGTGGCCTTCATAGTTACAGGGTACAGGACATTCACTCTGCCACACACACAGCTGGATGGATGAACAAATGTATAGTTGTCGTTAAGGCACACTTCACACCAAGGAGAACAATAAGAGAGAGCACAGACATGCAAAGGGGTCTGTTCAGTTCCTGTCGTCTCCTCTATGAAAATAAGGAGGGGGCAGACAGACAGGTGGGGGTGAGACCTTGTAAAAAAAAGAACAACAAAGGTAATTGCAAGTAAACGTGCTAACAGGAATAGTGCACACATACACATTTGGAAGCAGTGACAATGCCCCGTTGAAAAGGCCAGCATTGCTGATCACCTCCATATGTTTTGTTTTGGATATTGGTGTGCTGGTGTCCCCATTAGGATTGTTAACTAGCTTAACTAGCTTTACAATTTACACTTACAATAAAGTTTAGTGTTTTATAGCATTTAATAATCTAGGTCAGAATTATCATAGTTACTAAATCTAAAACCATTAAAACAAAATTTTTTGTTACCTTAAATAAACTTTATCTGAAATAAAATATATAAAAAAACACAAACATATTTTGTTTCATCTATTTGCCATGGTAACAATTTAAATTTTTTATTTAACTTGATGAAACTAAAACAATAATCATTAAGTACTATATATAGATGTTTAAAAAACTAATAAAATGACAAAAACAACAAAATTATTAAAACTTTAAATTCAAATACAAACAGAAAATATAAAAATAAAAACTAATTCAAAATATTCATAAAAACTATATCTCATTGATACTATACACTGATCTAGGTAAATGTTAATTTATAATTGCACTTTTGTGTAATACTCAATTCATGCTTGTTAATAATAGATTAAATGATGTTAATTTATACAACTTATGTTGGCATATGTAAAAAAATATCTAATTTAGAAGAATACTGTTCGTTGTTAATTCATGATACCTTACGCATTAACCAGCATAAACCTGCTTGAACCAGCATGGAAATTCACTCTTTTTATCACATTAATATGGCTATAATTCTTCAACATATATCACTCCATGGCATATATGATAAGTGATAAATGCAAGTTTGGGATTTTGTGCAGTGATTTTGATCTTGCCAACTAAGCAAGGCAAGTTGATGCATATAATCAGATATTGCATGACGGATTTTCCATTCCTCACATTCAGCGATCTGGAGATAGTTATTCACACCTACTACCTCCATCATTTCCTGACTACTGTACACTGTACACACACACACACACACACACACACACACACGCACAACGTAACATTTAAATTAACTGGTTTTGGTCACATCAAATACAATATATTTAACATCACAGAATCAACCTACAAACAAAACTAATTATGGGTTAAATCAGGTCTTTAAGGTAATAATTTCGAGTTACCACTTTTTACAGTGTAGCATGAGACTTTATACTGTCCAAAATGCTGCTGCTAGAACAGTATTTCACCTGTTCTGGCCTCTCTTAACTACAGTAATTTATTTTAAGGTCTTATTATATGTTTTTATAGCTGTAAAACAAATCATAGACCTCCTCAGCCATCATTATCGCTCCTGGACTCTCATAACATCTACTTCTGCCTACACTCGCATTTCAAGATTAAAGATGATCTTTCTCTGTAGCTTTGAGGGTTTATTTTAAGTTTTGTTTGCTTTTATGGCTAAATGCATTATACCATTTTAATTGCTCTTGTACATCACTTGTTGTTTTTAGATGCCCTCTGTAAATACACTGACATGACTTTCTACTGATTTCTAGGGACTTGCTCTACTGTTTGTTCTGGAACAGCAGAGTTGGCCTGCCTAAGAGGCAGAAAGATGGCCAGTGTCTGAACTCTACAGGATATGACACAAGCAATTCCATGCACTCAGATTCGTCCAAAAACAAGCCTTGTCTGTAGTCATTAACTACAACTGTTTTCAATTCAATCTAAAGGTTTCTGTCACATCTAAGCATGATTAGAAAGCATTGACTACATTTCTGTCATTCATTTCATTATTACAAGGCAACAATGAGCTTTAAAGTCCTGGAATGACAAATGCTAAATTTCTCATGCACGCTGTATCGAATGTCTTTCTCTCCAAGTATGCTTGAATGATCTTACTTGCATTATGTACTGCTATGCTCAATTTTACAAACTGCAAATGCACAGGAGTCAAATACAGATGGTTTGAAACTCACTTTCTGAAGTTGTCCAGCAATGTGCCTATTGATTTCTCTCTCCCTCTCCGTTTAGTGGACTGTTTTTAGAGCTCTGTGACAGCAGACAGGACCTGGGCAGTGATAGCTGTTTGAAAGTGTATTACGAATGTGAGGAAAGGTGCAATGCTATAGAAAGGAGGTTAGGACGGCCCACTTCTTTCCCTCCACCCACTTCTGAACGGCCCCTGCATCTCAGCCACCCTTCACCCTCCTGCCTTGTTATTCCTCCAGGCCCCAAGGATTCAAATTCCTAGTTTCCAGACCAAATCCCAAATCCATCACTCACAGAGAGGGGAAAAAACGATCCATCTGGGTTATATTAGGCAAAACCTGTGCAATTCATAGGCCTTAATTACTTCCCATTTTTAATACACTTTGCCTTATTAACTTTCATCCTGGTGGAGCTTGCTTGTATCTGACACTGCTGGATATTTACTGGGGGATGTCGAAAGGAATGCAGACACAAATTAACAGGGTAAAAAAGGAGGCAAGGCCTCCCGATTTAACTGTAAAACACTACCTGGTGCCAGGAACATAATGCGTCTTCATTACACAAAGGTTTGAGCACCATTAAGACAATGGCTTTGATGGAAACAACAGAGATAGCCTACTTTTAGAAACAGCAGGAGTGCCAGGGTTCCCATGAGGACTTTTCTGCAGAAATTCAGAGGAATTTTCCATGACCATTTGTAGAGGGTGACAGCTGTCCTAGGTCTGGCCTTTTATAAGGTAGTAAAAGTGTCTCCTCATCTATCCACTTCAGAGCTGACCAGCCAACTGTAGCCCCCTGCTGCTGACCCACACCCGCTGGGCACACAAACAGGTGGCTACTTCACTGTGGGAAAACACTGAAGCACACTTTGAGATAATTACCCTCCTCTACACTCTTTAAAATAAAGGTTCCAAAAGTGGATTTTCACAGCAATGCCATAGAAGAACTATTGTTGGGTTCCCCAAAGAACCATTCAGTGAACAGGTCTTAAAGGAATAGTTCACCCAAAAATGAAAATGTACTCCCCTTCAGGCCATCCAAGACGTAGATGAGTTTGTTCCTTATCTGAACAGGTTTGGTGAAATTTAGCATCACATCACTTGCTCAACAATGGATTCTCTGCAGTGAATGGGTGCCGTCAGAATGAGAGTTCAAACAGCTGATAAAAACATCACAATAAACCACAAGTAATACACACGACTGTAGTCCACCAATTCATGTCTTGTGAAGCGAAAAACTGTTTTTATAATAAATTCATCAAGTGTCAGAATCAGGAGAAAAATATGCACAGATCAAGCACTGTTTATGAGCGAAAACAGTCCAAAACAGTTCTAAAAAATACGTCAGTGGACCTGATGTGAGAGAACAACAGGGGATGGACTTTTTCACTGGAGCAAGCGTTATTATAGATTATAGACTTGTCTTTTTGCCAGAAGTGACAGTTTAAAGTTAAAACGCCTTAATGATGGATTTGTTTCTAACAAAAACGCAGCTTTTCTCTTTTCAAGCCATTAAATGATGGACTGGAGTCATGTGGATTACTGGTGGATTATTGTGATGTTTTCCAAAGGCACCCATTCACTGTAGAAGGTCAATTGGTGATCGAGTGACATAATGCTAAACTCAAATTTCAAATCTGTACAGGTGTAGAAATACATTCTGATGTAGAAACAAACTCATCTACATCTAGAATGGCCTGAAGGTAAGTAAATTTTCAGTAAATGTTTCTTTTTGGGTGAACCATTCCTTTAAAAGAACCATTTTTTCTTAGTGTGATGAACATTTTAATAAATTAAGGAAACTTTTTTTTCACTATAAGGAACCTTTAGTGCAACGAAAAGGTTCCATGGATGCTAAAGGTTCTTCATGGATCCATAGATGCCAATAAAAAACTTTTATGTATTACCCTGAATATTAAGTAAGAATATACGTGGATATTCCTAAAGACCACTTTTACAAACAACAAATAAGGCAGATTTGTAGACAACACTTAATTTTTTTTACTTAAGTTAAACCAAATGTACAATAATACTATGATATACAAAGGGAGCTGAGGTAGCAACATTTACAAACAAGAGGGCGACTAGCTCTTTAAAGGTTTGAAGAAAATTTTGGTCAATCTAACTGGAAACCAGCATTGGAAATATGTTCTAGTCATGGTACATTTTCAGGATGCAGCTTTTGATGACACCCATGTATCTGTCCCATATAACTTGATGCCTGTGGAAAAAAAACATGTCATACGTTTAGCAAATGTTTTTGTTGTTGTTTTTTAGTATGAGAAAGAGATCACAAACAGTGTTGGGGGTAACGCATTACAAGTAACGCCAGTTACGTAATCAGACTACTTTTTTTTAAGTAACTAGTAAAGTAATGCATTACTTTTTAATTTAGAAGGAAATATCCGAGTTACTTTTTCAAATAAGTAACTCCAGTTACTTTGTTTCCCATGTATTGACTGACAGCTTTCGTGTTGCCATGTTGAGAGAAATCAGGAGTAAGTGCAGAGGCGTTGTGTGTGAACATGATCTTACTGTAGTTCTAGACTAAATATGAACATGTATTTACTCATCTCACCTGCACAAAAACAGATTTAGTAGTACTCCTCAAAATCAATAACAACAGTCAAATGCAAACTCAGAATATGACACGAACCTGCAATAATTAAATAAGACAAATAAGACAAATATAATTTATGCATTTAATCCTATTTTATTAACCAAAGTCTTTGCTAGTGACCTTCGATGATCCAATTCAACCATACTGAGCAAAAATGACACATTTGTGTTTCCTTTTTGTTATTGCTGAATAGTGTTGAACTTTCTTCTCCTGCGCCATATTCTTCATGCGATTCGCTTCAGCTGCGCCCTCTACTGTACTGTACAGACGTGAATTTACATTTCCTTCAGCCTGAGACGTATTCATTTCACTTTTGGTGTGAAAGGGCTTTTACATATGTAAAAGAAGAACTTTTTTATATTAAAAACAAACAAGCCAGCCCTGCCCAGATTTAAAAAGTAACTCAAAAGAAACATAACGCATTACTTCCCATAAAAAGTAACATAATTAGTTACTTTTTTAGGAAGTAGCACAATATTGTAATGCATTACTTTTAAAAGTAACTGTCCCCAACACTGATCACAAACACACATAAATGCATATATACTAACCTGAAAGCCTCAAGCGTGTGTACAGAGCTGCTGTAGTGCTTGAGGAAAAGTCTGAGGTCTCCGATTGTCCATTTATCTGACCGGCGTGGTTCAATGAACTGAAAGAAGAACCGATAATCCTTCTGTCACACTTGACCTGGGACTATTCCGGGACAAATATCACCTCATGGTATGCAGTTTATCTACAGTGTCAGTGCATTACCTTCTCCACAAGGTCGATGAACAGATCTCGGAAATCTTTGGTGTGTGTGAGTTTTGAGGCAATGTTAACTAGAGCTCTTGACAAATTCTGAAGTTCACCCACAGCAATAAGCATCCATGTCATCCAACATAAATAAAACAAATTAATAAACAAAACGTGTATATAACATACACACACACACACACACACACACACACACACACACACACACTACTGTTCAAATGTTTGGCAAGATTTTACGTCTTTGAAAGAAGTCTCTTATTCTTACTTAGGCAGCATTAACTTGATCAGAAATCAAATAAAATCTGTAATATTGTGAAATGTCATTTATTATAAATGTTATGTATTCCTGTGATGGCAAAGCCATTACTCCAGTCGTCAGTGTCACATGATCCTTCAGAAATCATTCTAAAATACTGATTTGGGCTTTTTAGGGCTCTTTGATGAATAGAAAGACAGCGTTTATTTGAAACTGAAATCTTTCCTAACTTTATAAGTGTCTCGTGTCACTTTTCATTAATTTGAGGTGCCCTTGCTGAATAAAAATATTATTTAAAAAGATATCTGTGTGTGTGTTTAAAAAGTATGAAAAAATGCTTACAATTAAAAACAATCATGCTTCTCACCTTAAAACTGGCCTCCATCTCACTAAAGACTTTAATTTTCCCTCTAAGCTGTGCACACACCAAGCTATAATGTTAGTAGAAAGGACAGATATGTTAGAGATAGTGTGTCATAAGCATTACACTTGACCATCTGAACAAACTATTTGCATGCCTTTTGTGTTGGTCCAACATGTCCTTATCATTAACCAAAACTTTCAAGTCTTTCAAGTCATGGAGAAACTCTTTTTCTAGATCAACATCCAAGTCTTCCATCACGTTGTCTAAGAAAGTATGAAAGAAAGAAAACAGAGCATGAGAATGCATATACAGTACCTGTAATGCATTTCCTTTCATATTAATTTTGCCTAATTTCCATTACGGATCTCACAAATATTTCCCTAATAGAATTTGGGGAATACTTCCCGATTTTGGCACTGTCACCTCCCTGCTTTCAGAACTGCATACTGTACAAAGACACTCACCAAAGATGATCTGACTGGTGGAATATCATGCAATCTGACAGTAGTGGCTGCTGTAGTAATGTAAATGACAGAATTGTAGTTTTTCTTGAGTGAACTGTATCTTTAAGGTGAACATCTTACTAACTGCTCCCACGGTCCAGTAGCTGATGAGCTGACCAGCGCAAAAGGCAAAGTCCTGGAAAGACAAATATTGTAGCTTTCTCTTCCCTGTCTCAAAACGGCTGTTAGCGAAGAACACGATGGCAGCATAGTCCCTGCAGAGAGACATGGCTGAGTCAATGAGAAGACAGGGGAGAGTGTGAAAAGCATGCCAGGAACAGAAAAGAGCGTATGAGGAGAAAGATGAATGGAGGAGAGAGATCAAGCAAAACAGTAAGAAGATGAACGTAACAGAAACATAAGTTTTAAGATGTGCCTGTGTGTTTTCTAGATTTTGTCAGGTTTATGATAGCTTTTAATTATAACTCTAAAAGCTTTCACTGGTTAAGCTGGTTGTATTAAGTCACAATAGCGCAAATGCATTTACAGTACTGAAGTATATGACCTCATATAAATCATCTTTATCACAAGAACAGGTAGGAAATATTGTGATTGGCACACATTTACATCCCTTGAATTGGAAAGTTAGAAATGGTCACAGTTTCAATAGGTGGGACAGCTGCTTTTTACCACTAGCAATATGCTTAATTTGGCCACATGTGTGAAAGTCTCACCTTGCCAGAACATCAGACAGGAGAAAGTGACGCTGTATGTTCTCCACTAGGGGGCCTTTTAGCTCTTCCACCACTTTAAACACATGCTTGAAATTGTCAAACTGAGAAAATGGAAGTGAGGTTAAAACAATACATCTTCTTGCTTATCATCTGGATTTTGAATGAATGAATGAATCAATTAATTAATATTCACTTAATTACAAAATATAATAATATTTAATATTCATTGACACTGACATTATGTAAATAAATGTGAATAAAATAATACAAATTATTATTTAATATTCATAAGTACTGTATGCTGACAACATTTCTGTAAATAAATATATGTGAATATAATAATAATCATCATTATTTAATATTTCTAAGTATTGTACAATGACAACATTTCTGTTGATTAAATTTCCGTAAAGAATATGTTAATAAATTAGTAATAAAAAATAATTTTTATAATTATATATTATTATAATATTATAATATTATAATAACAATCAATCATTTTTATAATAACACTCACAATCAATTTAAGTACTGTGCACTGACAACATATTTGTAAACAATAATAACAATAATTATTATTATTATTTGTAAGTATTGTACACTGACAACATTTCTGTAAAACAGCATTGCTAATCATGCAGTATCATCCTTTCTTTGTGAGGCATTCAAAAATATAAGAGGCCAAAGTGTCTGCAGCACCTGTCGACGACAGCACTTGAGTGCAATCCCAGTCTTTGAACTGATGTCGTCCAAGTCTTTTTTGGTCCCTTTGGAGAGTTTCTTACCCAGCACCTCCCTGGCAAACACACTATCAAACTCATAGTACCTACAGGACAAATGCGGCAACAAACAAACAAGCTCAGCAAAACAGTGATGATGCCCTAACTACTAAAACTAAAAAAGCAACAACGTTATAAAACATAATACAAGCTAGTACGACCACAGACCTCTCGATGAGCATGGTTTGACGGTGAGGAGGGATCTGGAACAGAAGCTGATTGGCCACTTTGGAAGGGGACTGGAGGAGCCGCTCACACATCTGGAATGTTCTGAACTGGTCCATGGTGTCGCTGTGCAGAACTTCTGCATTGGCTTCACACTCCTGCAAGGCACCTGCTTCCATCCGTATTCTCACTGCATTTGAGACTATATACATGAAGAGTATATCATTACCTAAAGTGTTAAACATAAAAAAGCATGCACTAAGTGTGTATGACAAACTCATATGCAACATTTAGAAACAACTTTATTAACCCGTGTGTCCATCCAGCCACAGTTGGTACACGTCTTCATCCAGGACAGTAGTGTTCCCCACAAACACATCTAACTCCGTAGACATTCTCTTAAAAAGCATAAATAATAATAATAATAATAATATTTAAAATGATGTAAAACAGTTAAAAATAATTTGCTATACAAACAGTTGTCACAGCTGCTTTTGACAAACATAACTTTGATTTGCAACAACAAATGCAATCTCTTAAAATGAAAACTGTTGTAATAAACTGTTTATATGTTGTAGGTGTTTTTATAAGAGGTGCAGAGATTTAAAAAGCAAAATGATAGATGAGAACCTTCTTATTCAGAGAAAGATGACGTCAAACTGATGATAAAAACTTACCGGTTTATTTATGCGTTGCACTGAAAAAAATCAGTCAAAGAGGAGCAGTTAGCTCATGGTAGAACGCTGCAGAAAGTGGCGTCTGCTGTATGGCTCTCTAGGACGCATCTGCGAGCTGAGCTTATTGCGCAGATACAATTCCAAACGTGCAGCAGGTGCAGATCTGTTAATGCGCTTTATGCTGAAGCACAAACAAATAATACCAGGATTATCTATGAACGCTGACTGATACTGTAGTATATGCAAAAGCTGTCAAACTCCTCACAATCGCCTGGATCCAGTTTCTGGTTTTACCCAAGCTGAACTACATTCACCATAGACATTGCCCTCCGTCGAGCGTTCATGCAGCGTTATTGAACGTCTGCTCGTGTGTGACTGCCACCTGCTGTTAAGGAATAAACAAAGCACAAAGTTGCAACCAAAACTAAAAAATGTGCAGAAAAACGTATAACTTAATGCCTATATCATTTTAATTTTGTGCTTGTGTAATGTTTCTGGCTCAGACTTACAGTATTACTCAAGCTGAACTTACAATAACAGACTGAGGAAACGTGCATTAAGGCATTTTTGGTAAATTGAATGATTGGTAATGTTAATATTTAACTAAATCCGCACAAACCTAGTCTTACAGAATTATATTTGCTTGAGTATTGATTTTACCCTAAAATCTCCTCCCAAGTTATTATTTGTTGTAATGTTAAAGTGGAGCAACAGTTGGCGTTGGAATAATTATATAATTTTGTGATATTTTGTAAAAATAAATACAATCGTGATATTGTGAATGTAATTTATAATATTTATAAAATGTCATTTGATTCACATTTTATATTTGTAATATATTTGATTAAATATTAATATTTTATTAAATGTTACTGTAATATGTTTAAAGAATATTATTCACACATTTCTATTAGCTATATGCTACTGTTCAAAAGTTTGGGGTCAAATTTTGAAAGAAATTAAGCCAGTTTTATTAAGCAAGGACTGAATTGGCAGTAAAGACTTATTGTTACAAAAATTCAATTTCAGATAAATGTTGTTCCTTTAAATTGTCTGTTAATCAAAGAATGCAGAAAAAATATATAGTTTTCCACAAAAATATATTTAGTGGCACAACCTTTTTCGACATTGATAGTAAAATAAATGTTTCTTGAGCAACAGTTTTGGAATCATTTCTGAAAAACACTTAATGAAAACTGGAGTAATGGCTGCTGAAAATTCAACTTTGCCATCACAGGAATAATTATATTTTAAAATAAATGTAAAATAGACAACAATTCATTTAAATTGTAATAATATTTCACAACATTACTGATTTTACTGTACTTTTGAACAGCATACATATTAGCTAAGTAATAAACATATAATTTATAGAGCTGGCACCCAACCAAGGTCCACACCTGCTGCTACACCCATGGTACAAAAACATTTGATAGAGTAACAACGACATTTGAAACTGTGGTTTATTCTGAAAACAAGTCAAATGAAATGTGCATGCAATACAATAATTCTCAAGGTATCATTGAAATATATTTTAACATTTCGCTTTCTTTAACAAATATACGCTTATTATGTTATATAATCCACAGCTGATCTGAACCAGCAGACTCAGCACTAAACATGACCAGCATCAGTATTTATTCTGGGTTTGGGTCATTTAACTTGCAGATAGGCATGTGTGCCTCAAAAACCAACTCAAGCCTCTCTCTCTCCCTTTCAAGAGTAGCGATCTCTTCCTCCAGTTGTGTCTTCACATGTTCCAAATGCTCCGTCTCCTGGAAGAGAAAGCACAAGCTCAGGACATACGGCTAACGGCTAAATATGGTTTATAGCACAAATAAGTACTAATCTCACATTCTGTAATGTGTATATAAGCATCCGACGACGGTCCCGACACCTGGCGGCTGCTACTCTGTTCCTTTCCCTGCGGATCCTTATCCTGTCAAGTTCCTCAGAGGACATCTATAAAGGCCGAGGTGTTAGGTGTTAGCAAGGCAATTCCAAATGTCATTTAAGAACCAAGATTCAGTCTAAAAGAGTGATGGTGCTGCCATCTTATGAATGATATCAAGAAAACATACACACAGCAATTCTACCCAATTCCAAATATGCTGTTCCTGTTACTAATCCATTGGCACCAATGACAACATGATCCATCCATCTGAGCATGGCCTTTAAGATTCCCGCTCAAATACTACAGCGCTGACTCACTCCTCATGCCCCTTTGTGATTCAGGTGTGAGTCATTTCACTCTTTTACCATAATGAATGAATCACCGGAACTTTACTTTCACTACATTCTGCATTCTAAACTCTGAACGTTTCAGAAATATAAGTACCTTACATGTTTGTTAGCATGTCCTACTGAACTGTCCCCCACTGCTCCATTACAGGATGGGTCAGGACTGGAGCACTGTGACAAACAGGGGCAGTTGGGCATGGTGGTGGGTGCGAATGAGGAAAATGTTCCCAAGGTGGCCTCTGATTGGGAAAATAGAGAGGACTGCAGAAGCCACTGAAGATCTGGACTAGATGTAATTACATCAAGATTTGGGCTGGATGTAGTGTCCTCAGTAAGATTCTGCAATAAATAAATTTGTTATTAAATAATGTTAACAATTATAAAAATGTAGGCTCAAAAACAATTATAAGAATTGCAGATGAAAACATTTTTCATCTTCACAATACTGAACAATTATTATCTGTCCTGTTGTATTCCTTCTGTTTGATTTAGTTGATTTTGAAAATATACAGAAGTTGGTCAGAAGTCAGAAAGAGCTTTATTACCAAGTATGTTTACACACACACAAGGAATTTGACTTGGGGACAGGAGCTTCCAGTGCAGAAGAAAATACGGACTTAGTGCAGACATACATGATAGTGCAGAATTACACAGTAGAGGTGGATTTATTTATTTATTTAGTAATTTAGCAGACGCATTTATCCAAAGCGACTTACAAATGAGGACAACAGAAGCAATCAATTGTAGTATTAAAACGGGTCCATCCATGCTGGAGAAATCTGGGAATCATACATACGATAATACGATTCTCTTCCTTCATTATGATTCATTATGATCAAACCCGATCTGTATTCTTCGAGTTCATATTATTTCTGTTTGTTAAGTTCGCTTAAACCCATCTCCCGTGCTGTTAATTGAAATAGGCCCACAAAGGGACTAATTCGGTAGGAGAAAAATGACAAAACTATGATAAATCCATCAGAACGAATGATGAAAAAATAAACCAAAACACGTGCTACAACTTTTCTTCAAGTGTTTCAGCGCCTCCTCACACCCACTCACCCCCACTCTCTCTCCTCCCCATCACTGGAGCATCTATCGTTTCCAATCTACCGCCTTTTGTCCTCTGTGGCCACTAATGTGCCTCTCTAATGGCTATTACTTATGAAGACCTTCTTGCCAATAGCGCCAACTAACTGTCGCTGAAATTATATTCACTAGAAAACCCAGTAAATATCGTAAGTTTAACAAGCTTCCATAACTCACACCCTTCACATGTTGAATTTCACTTACAGACATCTTTTGCCAAGTGACGTGTAGGTTTGAAATGTATTAATAATCCAACCGTTGCAGAACTGGCAGGACATCCGTGAATCACTGAACTGGGTAGAGAACAGATACATGCCTCATTTCAAGGCTGGTCTGTACTGTCTTCAAGAATACATTAACATGAGAAAAGAAAAGAAAAAAAGACTTGGAAAAACTCTTTGAGAACTTCAAGCAGAAGAAATTTTTAAAAAATATTTTTTTAATTACACATTTCAGTTTTTTTTTTGTGCATGGGGCATACACTTTATTTTAAAATATTTATATTATATATAACTTTTATCAATCAAATCAATTCTTTTTAGATCACCATGGCTGTGTGTCAGGGTATTCTTTTTTGAAAATATCATATTTTAATCTTTTAAGTAAAATGCACATTTTGTTCAAACATTTGGTCAATAGAGTAACCCTAAAACTGTCTTGACACACACACACACACACACACACACACACACGGATAGATAGATTTATAAATATATATTGAATATTTTAAACTATACTACAGGGCTGTTGAATGCTTGAATCTGATTGGCTGACACAGACGTTCTAATGTGTGAACACTGTTGAGACACACACTCGCTCTCTTTCTCTAATTACTACTATCTCTAAAATGACATTTTAGAATTAGCAACGGAGGCGTCGGATGAGATGCATAAGAAATTAGTCCTACAAACAAGAGCAGTTAAAGGACAAAAACCTGACAAATGTCTTGAAATACAACATCTGAACAATGTCTTGAGGTGTGGTAACTTTAGTATAAGTGGAATAATTGATTCTATCTGTTCCCTACCCAGTTCTATTGAATTATTAGAAAATAATGCACACTCAAGGTGTAATGGTCATTCTGGCTTCGCATTACCACCTGGGGTGTGCATTATTTTCTAATAATTCAATGGCCCGTTGTCAATTATTATTTACTTAACTGAGTCAGACATCAATGCTGCTGAAAAAAAAAATACAAAGACAGAACTATAATTTCATCTTAGTCAGACTCGTATGACTAAGTCTGTGTCATATAATTCAGAATAAGCTTGTCAGCACAAATCCCAGGTAAAAAGTTTTATTATGAACAGAAAAGTTAAGTTTATTCCTCTTGTAATTTCAGTGCTTGTTTTTTTTCCCCAAGGCAACATAAAACAAAATGAATAGCAGATGTATGATACATCCACAGTGGACCGCAGACACACAGGGGTATAAATGACATATCATAAGGGTCTGTAGGCCCCAACAGTAATGTCAAATAGTTTAGAGTTGTTCAGTGTCCCTTCTTTGTCCAAAAGGAAGTAGAACTTGTACCATTTGATTTTAAGTGGGATAAATGAAGGTGATTCCTGTCTGTGCGCATGACAGGTCACTTGAGACAAAGGCACAGTTAGATGGTGAGCTCTGAGAGGTCCCAGCGGTGATTGTGTAGATACTGTGACTTTTCCACCTCCCTTATGCAGAATTACACGACTCACAGAACAGCGGCTGAACAATATTGCCACGCCAACAATTCCTCCGCCTACAACAGAAAAAAAATCATATTTAGAGAGTTGGAATACATAAAAAATGCAGAAAGCAGAGTTAAGGCTTACCAATAATTAGGCACCCAAGAGTGAATCCATACCTCCAGGCATTTGAACCGAGGTTCAAATCAAAACTGAAAAGCCCTCCTAACTCAGTTCTGACCTTTTGTGGTTCACCACTATTTTTTCTAGTGTCCCTAAGACTTGTGAAAGCAAAGTGAGCAAGATATGCCCAAAACAGAAACTGGACAGTACAAAATATGGCCAAAAGTCTGAAAAACCGCGTCCGGTCGTGTTCGAAGAGAATCACGTCCTTTGCGATGACAGTAGAGGTGAAGGCATAGGCATTCCTGACTGAAATCGCGCGAACGTGACAGCTTAGTGGATTTAAGATGCTTGTGATATCTTTGACTTTAACGATCTGGGTCGCTGTAAACACGAACGCTCTCGAAGACTGAAAAACGTTACCCGTCAGTCGATAAGCTGAAATAAATGTCCGACAGTACCTTAGACCGAACAACAAGCACTGAATACCCATGATTTAATAAAATGCTTAATTTTCAGTAATTCTCTGAGATACTGACATTTCAAACATGACACATTTCTGTATATTTTGACTCTATAATATTATCTAACATGCTGAGCGATTTGAACGGCACCAGGTCGACGCCATGTTTGTGCTCTTTTAAACTACGGAAGCCTCATTTGTCCAATTGCTCCAGTTCACGTTTCTCCGTTTTTCTAAATCTTCCAAAGCATTTTTTTATTAATTGTTTATTGTTATTTATTAATAAAATATTCAGAATAATTGTAAATATCTGGGTAAGCTTTACATTTTTACTGAGGGGAAGTCGTCGCGTGTGTGTTCTGTAGCTCGTATGAAAGTTTATAAAATAGGACTATAGAAATGTTTATTATAGGCCCTATGTTTATAACACAATAATATGTTTATGCAATTTATTCCTTACAAAATGTTGGACAAAACAATGTTGTTGTTTTTTTCATATAATTGCTGTTTCAAATTTGTTTTAATGATTAGGCTACATTTTGCTGAAAGGTCTTTAATGGGCTGTTAAGCCAGACTGTGACATGCTCCACTATTTGTTTTATTTATTTTGTACAGGAAGGTATGCCTGTACTGGAAGTGGCTTTACTCTAAGAAATATTCACTAGAGTAAAAAGAGTGACCCGGTCTCCATGCAAACCTGCTTTCCTGTTGTGTATAAACATAAACTTTGTCCAAAAGTAGGCTGCCTATATACCTATATCCACTGATGCAGCATCAACAAAGTGCACGGAAACAGACTGTATTCATGTTCACAGTTTACTTTAGAAACAGACAGAGATTACAGGTGTGTTTATGTTTTCATTGTGTGTATGTTTGCGGGAGGGCTGTTCACTCTTTATCAGAGTTTTGAGACATTAACATATGCTGCAAACTAATTTGCATACAAAGTTTTGATGTAGGCTAAACTAAACTCATTACAGTGGTTACAAAGTGTATTGTCTAATGTATCAACGTGAAAAGCGCTAGTTAATCCTCTTATTAATATGAAAAACCCATATATTTAAATAATGACTAACAGTTTTTAAAAATGTAGTAGCCTAATTTATGCGACAGGACACGCCTGCCCCCTGCTGATAAACTACTATTACAGCAATACAGCCGAACAACACACACCCACCTCCACAGACAACAAGCCTACATTAACAAAGGAGCAGACCCACACTCTACTACAGTACGAGTAAACCTGAAGACATGCTTTAAAAGTTGATAAACGTACTAAAATTACATTACAGTGTTAAAACACGAACATTGTAATATTTAAAACTGTTTACTTTTCTCATTAAGGTTACAGTAACATTACTTTGAGAACCGGTTTTACCTGCAGGCTACCTGCACTGCGCCGTTATATTTCTGCGCATGCGCAACCTCACCTGGCTGCTTCCTTGTTAAATGGAAAGCGATAGTTGAATTGTGGATAACTGTAGAACTGCAAGTTGCGAGAGGATCCGCTTAAAAACATATCTAGAACCTTAGACGAACATATATCATTTGCTAGGATTTTCGAAAATGCCTCGCGCATTCCTTGTCAAACAAAGTGAACTTTGCCGCTGAAAAAAGAAGCTGGAGTGAGATCCCGGATTCCGCGTGAGGGGACGTTTACATACCCGGTGAGTGTCTCGTTCATGTTCGCGTGTCACTGGGTGGGGAGTAAACATCATTTAATACTTAATGCATATTTACTTTATTACATAATTCATTTTATATTAACCATGGTTGTTGTTGGAAACAGATGACTTGACAAATGCAGTTAGAGTAAACACAAATAAAATTAGTTTCTCATTATCTAAAATGTTATGATGAGGTATTTTGTGTGCCAAGTTGTATTTTATTATATATATTTTTAATGCCTTACAAATGACTTGATATTGTGGTGACTTGTGATATAGGCTCTGTTATTTTGTTGAATGTTTACATGCATTAAATAATACTAAAAACGTAATACTTTTGTATTAAATAATAATAATAATGAAAATAAACACATCTGAAATCAGTGGCCAGTCAAAATCTGTTGATCTCTCTCTGTTTCGACTTAAAAATCTCTGTGCTCTTGCTGCTCTTTAGAGTCCATTTTTCCACCATATGTGCATGAAGTCTCTGAGGGCAGCATTGCAGACTACTCCTGCTTCACAACTGCACAAAAAAACAAAACATTTCTACAGGTTCAGTCCCATGTCTTGTCTGCACAGCTGCCATCTTCTACTGCACAGAGTCAACCTGATCACAAGCCAGAATGCCGCATGAGGACCCAAAGAGTGCCTTACTTGCGCTCAAAGATGAAGGTGAGCTGAGAATCCTTTTGGTTTAAAACACACATTTTGTAATGTTTGTGTGTGTGTGTGTGTGTGTGTGTGTGTGTGTAGAGAGAACATCTCTTTCCATTGTTCTCCATTTTCAGATAACTTGTCACGGAGTGACTGAGACGTGACACGTGCAGATCCAAGTGCGAAGCTTTATTAACCGACATGGTCAGAAACAGGCAAGGGTCAGACAATGGCAACAGGTATATAGAGGGCAAGACACAAGAATATTCCTAGGGCTAGTGTGGGTCTACGATCGGCGAACAGAATCAACAGGGCGAGACTAGAGGGATAAATCCAGGTACAAGGCAAAGGTCCAGGCAAACAGTATCCGAATAGGGCAAGACGAGAGGGGGAATCCGATATACACAGGCAAAGATCAGGACATGAGAAAACAGACAAGGCAAGACTAAGATAAGGCTATGAAAAACTAGACAGCCTCCGTAGAGTAGCTATCGCTATGAGAATGATAAACGCTATACAATACTGGGCAGTTTGAAAGGGTTCAGAGTGAGTGTTATATAGTGAATGTGTGATTGGTTACAGCTGTGTGCAATCAGTGCTGTGTGCAATCAGTGCAATGAATGATGGGATATGTAGTCCGGGATGACATGCAACAGTTTGTGTAGTGCGAGAGTCAATGTAATGGAAGGGTGACCTCTGGTGATGAGTGAATTGAAGTTCATAGACCGGATTCGAGACATAACTACAGGTAATATCCCATCTCTTCTACCAGTCATCCCAGATAATACAAACAAATTAGCAGATATTCCTCCTGCCGCATCAGTGTTATCCTGCCAGGTGTGCCAGAAGACATTCACTACAGCACGTATGCTGAAACGCCACAGTGAAATGAAAAAGTACTCTTGTGAGCACTGTGGAAAAGGATTTAATGATGCTTTTGACCTGAAGAGGCATGTACGTACACATACTGGTAAGTTTGCATTTAAATAAGTATATTAAGCTACATGTTTAAGTTTTTATATTTTAATCTCTAACTTTCCTCTCAACCTACAACAGGTGTGAGACCTTATAAGTGCACTATGTGTGTTAAAGCCTTCGCTCAGCGCTGCTCTTTAGAGTCTCAGCTGAAGAAGATCCATGCTGTTACTCAACAGTATGCCTACAAAGAGCGTATAGGGACAAACTGTTTGTGTGTGAGGAGTGTGGCTTGACTGCACAGACACGGGACGGTCTGCAGAATCATCTTCAAGCTGAACATCCTCAGAGACTGATAATGACAAAAAGCAACCATAAACTGACACATATTGTGGAAGGTAATACATCACCGTGTTCAACCTGAAACCCCCCAAATTTAGTGCTGAAGAAAAAATTAGAGGACCTATTGTTATTGATGAATTCTAATTAATCATTTTGCTCCACTCCACATGCACTTTTGTACAGTAATTCTAGGCAGAACCAAATCGCTTACAGAATTATTGGAATTAGGAGAATAATTTGGATGTATTGTATCGAATGACAAATTATGCTGAAGCAGTATAAACTGTATGAAGTCATAGTACACACAAAAATATATATATAAAAAAATGTTTTTGTTTCTTTGTTTGTACACTAGCTTAGACCTACTTAAAAAATACTTATACAAATAATATACTTAAACTGAACGTCATATTTTTGGAGACTTAATTACATGTTATTTGTAATGTATTGTCATTTAAATTTATATTAATGTAAGTAGTTGAACTTAAGAGAGCTTTTTTGACATACTGCAGGACTTGCGTACATCTTTGTGTAATTTCATAAACGTTCTAAAATATACTTTATATATACTTTAATGTAATTTCTATTGAAAATGTATTTAAATATATTTGTAATTACACATTTGTAATAATGTTGCAATTTAATACATTTAAAACACAGCCTATTACTTTAAATGTAATACTGAATAACAGTATACAGTTAAATACTTTACATGTACACATCAAAATAAGTGTACTAAAACAGTGACTTACTTTAAAGTAAAACTTTTGATTTGACATGATTACAAATTGTTCTTAAGTGTGGTAAGAAAAAGTCATGAAGGTGTACTCTCTTTAAATAAAAAGTGGTATTTTATTTAATCAATAGCCTATTAAATGATCTGCAAATACATTACGTTTTTATATATAGGCCTATGCTACTTTAAAGATTTGAAGTGCACTACAAGTGCACATTCGATACAATTAAGAGTTACTTTTCACAAGGGTTGCCCATTTGTCTTCACCTTAAAAACGTTTCCTGACTATTAAATAAGCCGTAAAAATAAAAAAAAACGAAACCACTCATAGGACCTATATTTAAAATCGTAACCTTGCATATGCACGCACTTGTCAGCGGGTTGGTTCGAACTGGCCAATTATTAGGATTTGAAGGCGCGTTTAAGGATGACGTCAGAGTGAAGCCCAAGGAGACAGTTCAGGTGAAAGGACTGGGAGGCTGAGGTGGAAAATACGAGATGCTCGGGAAGGAGAGTCTGAGGATTCGTCATTTCATCATTTCGGATTGTCATCAAGTTAAAACGTAGAGCAAATAATAAAAGGTTAATCTCGCCGCCACTGATTACGACACATCGGCAGCCTTCGACAAGAACGACTGCGAATATGATGCACTCGCTGTTATCCAGCCATCGCTCTCTCTCTCGAGCTTGCGATGCTTTTGTCACACAGGCTGACGGGAAATCAAGCGCAACAGTTACCCGTTATTCTTGATCCTTGGCTGGACTAGAATCCAGAAGAATCGCTATTGGCATTAGGTGACGTGATAACCTCTAAGACACGAAAAGGAAAGGACGCATCTTTTTTTTGGGGATGCTGTTGTGTAGTGAAC